AACCCTAATAGACATATAGTTCATAGAGAGTTTTGCGTCAAATAGATCGAAAATATAGACGAAATGAAGTATAGTAAAAGATTTACCAATGTTGCCAGAGGTCTCAGGCGATTAACAGAACCAGATATGATTACACCCCAAGCTTCTTCCTGCTTGTTAAAGTTGATTGTTCCAATAAAATCATTTGTTCCTGCAAGAAACATTTCGGCATGAGCATGTATCCCATTAGCTTTGCACACAAGAGTAATAATAAGTATCAAAAACGAAAGAATCAGTTTCATCTTAAATTAGTTGTAATGCACGAAAGTGTTTTGTAATCATGTATGGAGTAGAAAAGAAGAATGACAACAATGATTTTGCAAAAAAAATCTTATCTCATATCTTATACAGAACACAAAAAGAAAAACATGAGTTCATTCTCACCAAAACGTTATTTTGCTTTACATCATGCGGATTACATGAAATAAAAGTGACACTAATAGAAGCTGTTTAGGCATATAGAACACTAACGACGAAACCGACACATTGTCTGTGGATTTTAACGATTAGTTCAACCTTACAAAACCACCATTTGACTGCGCGACTCATATGAGATTGTATTGTATACTATTTAGCTGTACTAGAAAATAACATCCTATTAGCAGTCATAGACGTGAGCAACCTAACCAAAAGATGTTCGAGTATGTTTATAGATGCATTAGGGCAAAGAGTCTGCAGAAACGAGATTGAACAAAACCGACAGTAGAATCCTGTGCCAATAGCCAATACACTTTCAATATAATGCAGAACAAACTCGACATAAAAGCCATCGATACTCGTAAACCATTGAGAAAGTATTCTAAAAATCAACAGACATAATTAAAAGATTAATAGAAGCACGTTGCAAACATACCTTTTTAGGTGAAGAATGAAACGAAATAAAAACAGAAAAAGAAAGGAGAACGGATCTACATTTACAATAGTATTATATTTGCTAAGAAATCGAGACGCTTACAGATGAGTATGGAACAGAATAAGGCAGAACACTCTGTGAAGCCAATATATGATTTTTATGCTTTGGTTTTGTTTGAGTTTGAAAGAGGCCAGCGCAATACATCAAAGGGCGGGTGTGGGTGTGAGTGTAGATATTCGCTTTATCCATACATCCACACTCACACCCTAGCTGTTCAGCATTTAACTACGAAGAAAATTGGATTATCGAAGTTCGAACACGATTTGAAAATCCCAGTGGCAATGCATATTTCATCAAAATAGATTTAAATCTTGTTGGTCAAAAATATGATATTGTTACTGAATTTCATCTCATGCCCCATGTTCATTTTCTTTGTTCGATGACTTATGGCATGAAAACGAAACTTATATTTGCTGTATGGCAACATGGATCGATCGATCACGATGTTGTTATGCTCTATATGAATCCTTATACTAGTAAATTCAGCAATGAAACACTTCTGTTAAAAACACCGAAAGGATGGTGAGTCGGCATTTTGACGTTTCATCGCTACTTTTCATTCCGAACGTCCGTTTTCTTCGAAAAATCATCATTTTTATGATAACAATATCGGATGTTCGGAATTAAAAAAATACGGATATTCGGAATGATCATCGAAAAATAAACGGATGTTCGTAAAAATTTTTAACGGGTGCTCGGAACTACAACGACACGCATATTTCTGTTGAAGAAACGGGATAATTTTAACGGATGTTCGTAAAAAAAACTACCGAATGTTCATAATGAAAATATAGGGATATTCGGAACAACAATAAACAGATGTTCGTGAAGTTCGGAATAGAAAAGAAGGGATGTTCGGAACGAAGATGGGCTTCTTTTATTAGTACAGCACTTTAGTTCTAGTTAACCTATATTCGGAACGGTCTTCCTGTCACAACACAGTACACAATATGTTAGACATATAGTCACAGATGTAAAGGGTGTACTGGGATACAAACTTCTGTTCACTCCTTTTCGAGGATGGTTCGGGAAAGAATATTTCACTATCAAAACTTCCTAGCCTGTCCATTTGCTTCATCTTTTCATTATAAGAAATAAATGAGGTTTATTGAACAAAGAACAATATTCACAGATATAAAGTCGAGCTCTTAAGAAATACAATGGCACAAAGATAGAGACATTTCAATAATAAATAAATAACAAAAAACAGTAAATCTCTATCACTTCTTGACTGATAGTATTATTTTTTTCGAGTTTTTACTCTCGAGATTATGAGACCGCTTCTCCTTCATCTACCACTCTATGTCGAAGTCTGTTTTGCACACTATTTATTTTGTCTCGAACATCCCTATGTTTGCGTTCCGAGTATCCATCTTTCGTAACTCTGTCATATGATATAATTCATTCCGAACATCCATTCTTTACCGTACGAACATCCGTTTCATTAGTTATGGATATCTGTTAGATTTTTTTTCGAACATTCGCTGGAGGACTAAAATATCAATTCCGAACATTTGGATTCGCCAGTAATGTGTAGTATTGCAGATGGGAAATTGAAACATACGTTATTACACAATACATTTTTTAATAGTTGTTTATAATGAATCGATTCATTTTCATCATCATGATTAACATCAGTGTGAAGTATCTTATTGATCAAAGTATGAAGATTGTTAAAATGAGATTTATCTTTTAATCCACCAAAAATCAAGACACCTCTAGAAAAAGTTCGCATATTCTAATAAGTATTCATTTATTTTTTAAACATTAGAAGAGAACATTTGTCCATAAAATGAAAGATGTAAGTCTGTAATAGATCAAGTAAAAATACATGAATTGCTTGTTTTTTTAGAAATTTAGACGGAGTATGAAATTGAATAAAAGAAAATAAAATTTCTCTCCAACAAAAACATCCAAGTAAGGAAGCAAGTATAAGTAAATATAATCTTTGATGAGACACAATTAATAAATGTATTATATTATTCTTTCATATCCACCGTACACATATGGGTAAATTACGTTCATGTTGTACAGTTGCATTCCCAACACTAAAACGCTTATATCTCAATGTGTACTCAACCAATTTTAATAATTTTATTTTTTGAAATACTCCTTAGACTCTATCCTACTTACCGTAAAACTATCAAGGCTTTTGGCTATTATAGCTATGAAATTTTCAAGCAAGGAAGGTCAAAGTGACTGCTTTTTGGATCCACCCATCGACGAAAATCGCTCCTATTATGCTACAATTTTAAACAGATAAAAATAATTTATTGTAACCATTTGGCAGCTAAGACTTTCGTCTTTCTCATCATATAGATTGATTACAGCTTTGGTTTTGATTTTCTGATCAAATTTTGTAAAGATTAGCTAAACATACACTTTGGCTAGTTCATGTTCCGACAGATAAAATTCAATCTACCGAAACCCATGCAAAAGTAAACGCCAATGTTTTTACTATTCGGTAGAGTAAAGAATGAGAAATCTTTTGATAAACAACAATTTTTCTAAGGACCTTCTATATCAAATAAAAAACTAAACGTAAGATGGTACGGGTGATGGTGAGTGTCATTCGCACCTTTGCGCTCTTATTATAGGTATGTATATGTGCCGATAAAGTTCTGCGTATGCTCATTAGATTCTTCTCTTCAAGATCTTTCAATTGATATATAATAACAATATATTAATTGATGTTAAGAAATCTCGGAAAATATGGAATTTTAATAAAAATCAATTTTTTTTGTCTGAAATGAAAAAACTGACAGTTGGGAAAATACTTGATTATTACACAATTAATGAAGCTCTATCGAATGTGCGATTCAAATATTCTTCAAGATCACTTTTATTTTTTTTTGGTCCAACCGTACAATACAAGCGCAATTCACTCACATACTAATAGAAAAATTTGTTTTTATTTCCTAAGAACAAATTATGTATTTCTCTTTGTCTCTGTAGGTAAGATTTCTTTATCTTTATTGTTACACGATAAATGTTTTATCTATATTTTCCGGAATAACTTAAGATTATTTGAAATTTTTATAGCTAATAATTTGCGACGAAAAAATCTATTTTAATAGTTCAGACATCGATATATCTTATTCGAATAGTTAAGGAGAGAACAGAGAACAAGTGACTTTTTTTTCTAGAGAATACTCTATTGTCAATATTGTTTGTTTCAGAATATCTTATCTAATAAACTTGCGTAATACTTAATCCAGGTAATGTTGTAGTTACATGTCGAACGAGATTCTTCAACAATGAACGAACATTGTCCAAATCAAATTCACGTGGTAAGTTTATCGAACTTCGATGTTCAATTAATATATGTTGATAATCATCCAACAATATGATGAATCCAATACATGGACCGATGCCTGTCGTTGCTAACGAATCATTTGAAGAAGCAAAATGACCCATCTCAACATCATCTATAAATTTATTCATTGTAGTTAATGACATGCTTTATTTTACTTGTTGTTTGATATTCTAAGATAATCAAAGCGCTTTATGTGTAGTGAGAGAAAACAAAAAAAAAAAGATGACACATATATGTATATGTTGGAGTAGAAATTAAAATTCTACTAGGAGAGATTAAAATTTCAATTTCTACTAGGAGAAATCGAAATAACAGGCGATTTTAAGTTACACTAGTAGAAGTTAAAATTTTAATTTCTACTATAGGAGAATTTTAAATTCTACTAGAAACTTATACTATAAAATTATGCAAATTTCTCCTAGAATAGAAAATAAAATTAACCCGTATGTGATCACTAGATTATTTGATTTAATGCCAAAATCCACTTGTAATTCACTAATAGTAACTAATTTAACGTGTTTATTGATTTAGAATTTAAACTGAGCTTCACTCTAACCATCTTTTATTACCAATATGATGCTATTGTAACCAATTTGTGTGATAAGTACTTTAAAAGAAATCTTTTTCTAAAGATTCTATATGCTTACCAAATTTCGAATAAAATAGTTATTTTATATCATATTGAAGTGTTTTTTCTTTCGATACTGACGCAAGGAGTTCAAATTAAATATCTAAAATCTTTTTTTTTCTTTTCGTTCGACATATTGCATAATTAGAATAAGTATTAATTTTATTTTCTATTCTAGGGGAAATTCGCATAATTTTATAGTATAAGTTTCTAGTAGAATTTAAAATTCTCCTATAGTAGAAATTAAAATTTTAACTTCTACTAGTGCAACTTAAAATCGCCTGTTATTTCGATTTCTCCTAGTAGAAATTGAAATTTTAATCTCTCCTAGTAGAATTTTAAATTCTACTGAATTTTAATTTCTACTCCAACATATACATGAACTTAATCAATGATCCAATAGCAGTACCTTCTCCGCATATAAAAAAATTTTCTTTTTAAAAAATACCTATTTACATATACCGTCTTATGAAAAAATGAAATCAAAATTTTTCTTTTTCTAGCAAGAAACTTATCGAAAATAATGCTATTTAAAAAAACATATTTTTTCAGATTTTTTTATTTAAATTTTATATAAGAAAATCATGATTTGTTACACAAATCGTTCTATACATTTAGATAAAAATACATATTCTAAATTGAAACTTTTCAATTGATAGATTTAAACAATTTTATACAGTAAATAAATCAAAATCTTTTGAAAACATCTTTTACAAATATTATGATATGCTCAAACATCAACAAAAAAGATTTTTTGATTAGAAATCTTCGTCGATATAATTAGGTTAAAGCCAAATACGTAGTTCGTCGTATCTACGAAATTCAATTTTAATATTATTACAATTAAATAGTTGATTATGTCCAACTGCTAATAATCTTTCTTCGAATATTTTCTGTTTTTCATGTTTCGATCGATAAAGACAATCTTTGTTCACTATTAAATACACTAATTGATCAAATCGATGAATAATTTTCCAAATAAATTGAACAAGATTTTCATTCAACTTAATAATTTCACGACTTGTTTCAAGAGAACATAGATAAGGTACTAATTGAGCTAATCGATCAACATTGAAATATTCTATAGGTTCGGGATATAATCGCTCTAACATGAGATTGACATGTCGAAGATTTAAGTAGCTATGTGAACATTCACGAAAATCCTCCCATGGCACTACAAGATGTGAAAGATTTGGTGATGCATCCAGTATTTGTTTGATAATGGTCACACGTTCTAACTTTGATATTGATTTTGATAGGAAATTAAAAGTTAAAGATCGTAGATGACGAAACAACAAATCACAACTGGAAGGATAACGTAATGTCATCGATGCATTTAACTAAAAAAAGAAAAATATATATATATTTATTATGAGCTTTACCATTTTTTAGACATGTTTTTATCTGTTCAATAAGAAGAGTATCTTTATACATATTCCATACTTATCCATTTAAAACTTCTAACAAAATCAAATTTTCATAGAGATATATGGCAAAGGTAAGTAAATAGTATCGTCAGTATGCTCCATTTCTCAAAGAGGACTAAACAATATTCTTCATCTCGAATTATTTTTCTTTAATTAAATGTTGAATCTGATACTGGCATAATTCTTCAGTGTTTAGAAAATCAGAAAATACGCAAAAAACTTCATCGGTGTTGATTTCTGATTCTTATGAACTTCTTCGTGCTATCCGATGTTATTTTCATATATATCAATCAATAGTATTCTGCAAGTATGCATAAGTTACATACTCTATGTATCTTATCATATTAGCTAATTTAACATTTTGTGATATTAAAAGACGAGATGCATTTGTTCTAAACTGATAACTTGATATTTTATCTTAAATTCTCTTTTGAACAATACATTCTGACTTTGACTTTGAAGCTTGCCAAATAATTTTGTTCAATATTAGAAAAGATTCGTAATCGTAGATGTTCTATGAATGATTAGCCCTTAACTTGAAATTGAAAACTTTGACGAATAACAATATATTCAAAGGATTTTGATTTGATTCATTTTATCTCTTAACATTACTTATTTTTTCCCATTTAATAATTTAATGTACTTACTAATTCATTGAAGTACGTTAAGCGGAGTTCATTAACGCGACCGCTTGCAAGTATTTGTAGAGTTTTCACTAAATGATCAGGCTCATATTTTACATCGCTAGTCCATTGAATTAATTGTCGTCGAGTTGTTATAATGGGAACAGATGCATGTGCTGCGAAACAATGATTGTGGAAAGTTCGCTTGTAGCGAAAGTGTAAGCTAATTGGACGCTTGTAGACAATAAATAAGGCCTTTGTAGAGAAAACTGCTCTATTCTCTTCAAAAGTCCGAATCTCATCTATGTAGTAAGCAAGATTATCAAAAGGCCATTGACCATTGCAAGCAAAAGAACTGATTCGCCATGAATCTTCGATTTCTTTAGGAAAACAAAACGAGAAATGGAGATGTTTCAGAGCAGATAAATATGTTGAACCACAAACTTCTTGAAATTTACCAACATGATCTAATGCTACAAGCAAAAAAGTAAATAAATTTGACTTTATTTCGATATGACGAATGAAGAAAATAATACCAATGTACACAACTACTGAAATTATCGATGAAATATTTTTACAGATATCTTAGAACAACTTTTTGTGTCAAAAGTTGATTTGATCATTTGGTCTATGACAACACAAGAAACTGAATGGTTTCAGTTGATATAATACAAGAATAAATGATAAACACATATTAAATGGTAACTTACTATAATCATACAAATCAACCAATATCATGTTTTCAAGTAAAGGCATAGTTAACGCGTCAAGTAATATAACAACATCACTGAGACTTAAATAACGTAGCAGTAAATATCGTAGTCGAGTACCATCGAGTCTTTCACGTAGATCATGTTTACAAAGTCGAATACCTGATGCTGATTTACCTTCATTTAGTAGTAAAGGAAAATGTAGCTCCTCATTAGTAACGCTCAATTGTTCAATTGATGGCAGAGTATTACGTTGTAAAAGAAGTATAAGTTCGTTTGAGCATTGAATACTTAATGTTAATTGAACTGTATTTGGCCAACATGGTGATACCATCTTAATGGAATCCATTACCTGATTGTCCGAGTAATATATGTGACCTATAAATCAAACGAATACAAAAAATAATGATAATAATAGCAAAGCAACAAAAGAAATTATTTCATTTAAATTGTATGTTCGAATTTAGAAAAGGTAGACTTATCTCTATATCCGACAAACAAAATTAATTATCAAAGGTGTAGAGATGATTGATTTTACTATAACTCAATGACATGCTATCGCTTTATAATTGAATTTTTAAGAAATATCTCTTAATTTAAAATAACATCATTAGAAAAATTCCTTTCAGTTATTATTTCAATCTGAAGTAACTTTAAATATAATAGACAATGTTAATGACAAAAATAGGACGTAATGCGTTACACAAGACAATTGATTTTCATCAAGCTACAAATAACTTTTGAACTGAGAATGAATTCAATTCTATAAAACCAAGATTACAGAAAGTAATAGGAACACAATTACTGAAATTGAGAGATACTAACTCAATTCGAAAGAAATTCATTCCATAATTCGATTTCTTATTCAAGAATATGTTTAATAAAATACCTTGTTGAACTTCAAATATCATAGTATGAATTGAAATATGATTACGAATAAAAGAAGCGAGTATTGCTGAGTATGCGATCGTAGGTCGTTTAAAAACGAGATGCAAATGTCGTAATGTATTGTTTGTAGAAATCAAAGGAACTAATATTGGATAAATAAAACCATATTCATAATACTCTGCTTTCAATATAATAATCTGTTTTATTGATAAGAATATATTCAATCGTTCAGGATCATTTAAAGTTTTCGTCAAATGTTCACGTAACATCATGCATGCAGATGAATCACGAAGTATGATCGTATCTATCAATGCAGTAAAATGATTTATATAATCATTGTTACTATTTAGAAATTCTCGTAAAAGGTTATAATGCATTGAACTAACATCTAATGAGTGACGAATAGAAGTAAGAAGATGTTTTATACGACTATTTTTCAAGTCAAAAAAGGTTTGATAGAGATCAAAAGAAGATAAATAAGAAAATATAATAAGCAAAACTTCATTGGGTAATGATTGAAACGTATTTTTTGTCATTGTTGACGTATCATCTACAAACATTCTTCTTTCGATATAAATGACCCCGATACATATATATATATATGTATACGCGCGAACGGTTATTGTATGCATTAATGCCCGACGGATGTATTCATTTCTTTATTTGACGAACAATGTTGTAAAAAAGTTCGAATGATTGAAATTTTTGAAGAAAAATTCCGTGTTTAAACATAAATATTCGTTTTTCGAGTGAAGATAAGCAGATATCAAATATTATTTTGTTTTATTCTTTTGCATCAAATAAAAGATGGTCAAATTAAAATGTAGCCGTTTTGCAATAAACGTATCAAATTAAATTAAAAAAGATTTTCTATTTATTGTTCGAAGTAAAGCAAAAGAGAGATATCATTTACGGATTAAATCTATCTAAAGTCACATCATTTCACCTTGAAATTTCTTGTTTCTAACTACGTCTATATTTATTTTTTCAGGTCATTCTTTATGTTATTGTTCGTTCATTATTGATGCAAAGTTTCTCGTTTATATTACTGTTGCTAATATGTGGTCAATTTTAATCGAATCTCATGGCCAGCAAGCGAAATGAGAGTAAGGCTAATCAATAATCGGTCTGTGCACATCATGATCTACCTCTGAGAGCATGTTTTTCACAGAAATCTAGCATCCCCCAGTTGGTCTCAATAGCTGTTTGTTAGAGAGAATCAAACATCAGAAAACGTGATTTTGTCATGACAAATTTTCTATGATGTCATGTTAGATCTACAATTTTTTTATTTCTCTATTTGTTTATTGAGGAGAGTTGGTTATCTAAGATAGCACTCCGTCATAGATTGCTTTTTTCTAAGACCTATCGTTCAAATTAATTTTTCATTTTCTTTCAATCAATTACAAGTGACAGTTCCTATTGAGTGCTTCCATCACGATGTTTATTTGTGCTTATAAAACACTTAGTAAAAAGAACAATCTTGATGTAGGGAAATTGGACATATGTATTCTGTGATAGTTTAAGTCTTATACGTTTGTATTTGATTAAAATACAGGATTCACACGGGAAAAAAACGTTATTCCGTCACATTTAGTCAAGCTGTAATTGTTTTCGCCTTGTTGTCAAATGTAGATTCATTTTAGGAAAATTTCGTTAACATTAGAATGAAGATTTGAAATATGAGTTTTGTTCCTAAACAATTAAACGATATAGTCTATCACAAATCATATTGCGATCTTTCAATGTTATCATTGTTAACTATCAGAAAATATTGAATTGATTATAAATCATATTAGTAGAAAGATAAATATCAATCTTGTAAACAATTATCAGATCT